AATGCGATGCGGCGGCTAGTAAAGCGACCAAAACGCTGGCTTGCATCCATAGATGCTTCTCAAGCAAATCCCGGGACATCATTCTCCCCCTGTACTCGGCCTTAGTGAGGCCGCAGCTGGAGTACTGTGTCCAGTTTTGGGCTCCACAATTCAAAAAGGATGTGGAGAAGCTTGAGAGAGTCCAGAGAAGAGCCACGCGCATGATCAGAGGTCAGGGAAGCAGACCCTACGATGACAGGCTGAGAGCCCTGGGGCTCTTTAGCCTGAAAAAGCGCAGGCTCAGGGGTGATCTGATGGCCACCTACAAGTTTATCAGGGGTGACCACCAGCATCTGGGGGAACGTTTGTTCACCAGAGCACCCCAAGGGATGACGAGGTCGAATGGTCACAAACTACTTCAAGATCGTTTCAGGCTGGACATAAGGAAGAACTTCTTTACTGTCCGAGCCCCCAAGGTCTGGAACAGCCTGCCACCGGAGGTGGTTCAAGCGCCTTCATTGAACACCTTCAAGATGAAACTGAATGCTTATCTTGCTGGGATCCTATGACCCCAGCTGACTTCCTGCCCTTTGGGCGGGGGGCTGGACTCGATGATCTTCCGAGGTCCCTTCCAGCCCTAATGTCTATGAAATCTATGAAATCTTCACGTCTGCAAGCAGCCTGTAAGATTTTCTGGTGAAACATGATACCTTTATACCATTCCTAACACAAGATATCTCTGGACATTGCCATAATAATAATAATGGTGTAGTTACTTAACATCAGGTTACACAGCTAACAGTTCATTGCATTTAATTTGTGATCTGTCTATAAAGCTGTTATGTTGACTGGATTGTTTTACTTTTAGCTTCTGCTTCTAGCATCGAATGAGTAGGAACTCCTTTAGTTCCCAAAGATTTTTGGCCCTTATGGACACTGATACATGGGCCTTATTCTGAGATTATATCCTTATTTAATAACTCCTTATTAGTGGCCAAAAGTATGTAGTTCCCATGTTGTGTGTTTACTATCTGCACTGTACTTTCTTAGAGCTGTAGGCGATCTCATTGTTCTTGATTGTAGGGATTGAGAATACAGCAAATAATACTTGAGGTAGTGATGATATTAAAAGCCTAAATGGACACAGAATGCAAAGGGCATTGCTCAGGTCAGGGAGTAACCACTTGGCATCTAGTAGGTATCTGAGGATACCGGAGACAGTGATCTTTAATGTGTAGTCTATCCAGGGGGAAAAAGTGTATAGACAGCAAGGCCAGATAACAGTTCTGATAAAACTTTCCATAGGAGCATTCTATTTTCCAGTTATCTTGTATATGGTGGGATATTCTGCTCCAGGAAGATGAGCTCTCCATTCTATAAAGAGTGCACAATAACCTGTATTCTCTCTTTCTGTCTGGTGGCTACAGGAAGACATCTCACTAAGTGGTTACCAGAAGCATGTCTCCTCATGCTCAGCACCAGCTCCCCTGACAGCAGCTGAACAGGAGCTCCAGCAAATCCGCATCAGTGAGGTGAGAGTCTGGGTTTGTTTCTTTTTTTGTGGGGAAAGATTAGAAGAAGCCACTGCTGTAAAACAGCAAATGCTGGGGCAACTGAGATGCACTAGGCTGTGTTTTCACCACCCAAGGGAAAAGCTGGATAACTCCTCATGGAGGATGTATGAAACTAGGCTAAACATAAAGCTAGCAAATATATTGTAGGTCATGGGATCTGCATTGGCCAAAAGATGGTCTGGGAGTTGACTGCCTCTCATTTTGCGTAGATACTGGAGCAGAAAGAGGCAATTCCTGTTAGTACAAAGCAAAGCAGGGTGACTGAGGTGATAAGGACACTAACAGTCAAAACCAAGGTCCAATAAAAGCATGACAAATCTGCATTTTAATTGTGACAGTTTTCTTTAAGTGATCTCCCTTTATTTTTGTGCCTTTATTTTTTTTTAAAGCTACAGCTAGGGCATAGGCCTCTGGTCCCTTGTTCAGGAAGGTGGGGGCTCAAGGAGAGCAGAAATGGAGAGTACAGGAGACATCTCATTTACAGTCTGCCTGCTTTCCTCCACTTCCTCGGGTGGGAGTCAGGACAAACAGAGCACTGTAGCAGGCTGGAGGAACAAACCTATCTCTGTTGCGTTCCACAAACCATGCATGCATAAAAGGAAATGCTTCATATGAAATGTTTTTAAATAGTATTTATTTCCTTCAGGGTTAATTTTGGATTATTTCTGAACCAGAATAGAAGCTATATTTTAATCAGTTAGGGA